CACATCTAAAAAAAACAAAACAAGACTGAATAAAGTTCCTTGAATCCAACAAGCTCATTCAGCTCCTCTCTGTCTTGTAGAATCCAGCATCCTGTTCCACTAATAAGACCTGTTGCTGGTTTTCAATGCTAAAACCATTTATTTTATTTTGTTTCCAGTCCATTAAAATATTCTGCCACCTGCTTTTAAGGTCATTTGCATTTCAATGGGGCACAAAGTCCACATTCTGAACACGTCATTCACACATGATGGGGAATTGCCCCTATTGCATAAAGATAAGGATTGCTTTTATTGGTCTGCATGTTTACAAATGTGCCACTATCTTGGAAATTCAGTCATAGTGCAGGCTTAAAAATAGCCCAGGTTCGATATCTGCGGACTTTGCAACCTGGACATTCTTCTGTACAGTAGTAACACTTTCCACAAAAAAAGAAAAAAAACATATATAGAGAGAGAGAGTTAATGAAAAGAATTATCATCATAAAGTTCAAGTTTAACAAATGAACAGTTCAGAACAGTGTATGTCTTTGTCTATAAATGAGTCTTCTGTGTTTTAATAATAAACTTGATGTTGTTATGCTTCTGTATTGTGTAAGTTTTTCTTAATATACTATTTAAAGAGCAAATTCCATAAAATCGAGATGTTTCTAAAATGCCATGTTGAAGTCAGGACTGTGTGGGAAGCCTGGTTTAGCTGTAAACCTACAGCACTGATTGCTGTTCTGTTCTCTTTTCTCACAGAGTTTATCGAGGGTGTCTCACAGTTCAGCGTTAAGGGGGACAAAGAGCAGAAGCTTCGATGTAAGTAAAGCTGCTTCTTCGCTTAAGTCACATGTAGCCATGGGTAGTAGAACAAGTTTCTTATCCTCAAGCACATCCATTTGTTTTGTTGCTTTGGGAGTAAAACCAGTCAGGGGCTTTGTCCCCTGTGACTCCCCTCTTCTGTTTGTCTCACGTCACCTTGCTGCTGCAACACAAATTCCCCTGGGGTAGTATGTCCTTTATAGTGCACAGTGTTAACCTTTTGGGTCACCTTTCATGAGCTAGTCAAGTTTTCTTTTTTAAAAAAAGGGAAAAAAACAACCATTTAAATATTAAAGAAGAGTTAAAGACTATATATAATAAAGGCTGATTGGTTTAGACTTCCAACTACCTGTGCTTCTGCTCCCTCCCCACGCCACTCCCTGCACCACAGTTGCTTTTAGGATCTATGACATGGACAAGGATGGCTACATCTCCAATGGCGAGCTCTTCCAGGTTCTGAAGATGATGGTAGGCAACAACCTGAAGGACACGCAGCTCCAGCAGATCGTGGACAAGACCATTATCAATGCAGACAAGGACGGAGACGGCAGGATATCCTTTGAAGAGTTCTGTGCAGTAAGTCAAAGCCCTCCTGGGGTATTTTGGGGTGGTGACATTTGTGCTGATGCAGCCTAGTATGTTGGAAGCAAATGTCAAAGGGGCGGAAAACTCTGGAAACACAAACACTTTTTGCTTAGGCTCAACGGCATTGGGTTTCAGTTTCACACTTCCTTGTTGAAATGTGGTGTCAAGGGCTGTAAACATAGCCTGGTGTGTACTTACGGCATTTGTAGGAGGATCTGTGTCATCCAGCAAATTTAAGGTTGGCAGTGATGAGCGTTATTTGGTTTGTAAACGCACTGACCCAGATCAATATTCTCATTGCTGTCGTACTGATATGCATAAACTAACTAGAAAGTATGTGGCTGTAATTATCTAATTTAAGATCACAGACGCAAATGAAGTTCTCGCAATACAATTAGTGTCATCTTGTTGAAAAGTGTGATACACCGACTCGTCTGTTGTCGGACCCCAGTGGAAATGGCTTTGCTCTGAGACATATTCTAAAATGAAAGACTCCACTTCCAACTGACAGACATGAGCCCCACATTTGACAGCTATATCTCTGGAGCCATGAACTAAAATGGCTCTGTCCTCGTGGGAGTGTATTTTCAGAGTGGTGCAGGAGAGTATTAGATCAGTTTTTTTTTTTTGTTTTTTTTTTTTACTGAAGCAGTGCAGCTCAAACACTTCAAGGTTCAAGGAAAAGGCTCCATGACATGATTTTATTCTTGCTTTGTAGTATTAGCAACACTGTTGTGTAAAAGTAACAATGGAAGAGAAAGTGTGTAAAAATAAGAGAATAAATTTAGTAGATTTTCTCAGGATGCCGTTGATCCCATTGTTACATTTCGGCATTTCCACAGCAGTGTTACAGCGAGAACTTGTAGTTGATGCGGTCACTCATAGTGAAACTGACATGCTTGTTGATGGTTATGTGGTGAATGAAACGTTACCAATATGAAATCACTTTACAATGAGGTGAAGGCCGTATATTCACAGGTAATGTACAGTAATCTGTTTACCCTCTGAACCAACATGTTTATTTTTAGTCAGTTAAAAATACACTGAGTTGTTTTCTCAGTATATAAGTTCATAACAGGTTACCTTTTAATGGCAGTAATAAAAAGATGACAACTTTTTAAAAATAGCAGTACCAAACATTGGTGTTCTTCTATTGTGCAGGTCAAAATGTTTTTAAGGGGCCGTCTTGGTTGGGCATGGGTGCCTTAACCTGAGACGGATTCTGTTGCAGGTCTCTTCCTGGTAAAAGGGAGTTCTTCCTTTCCACTCTTGCCACATGTTGTTCATCAGAGATGATTGATTGTTAGCTTCTTCTCTAATACTTTTGGCTTTTTACTGTTGAACGTAGCACATATCAAAATTTATTCATAAATTTTGCATATAAATATAAAGCTCGGGTGCTGTTGTTGTGAATTGGCACTTTATAAAGAAAACTAAACTATGTGAACTTTAATGCTTACCTCCACAGCGCTAACAGCACTCTATTAAAGATTTTCTTTTCTATTCCTTCCTTTCGCACTTTCATCCAGGTGGTTGGTGGCCTCGATATACACAAAAAGATGGTGGTGGATGTGTGAGCGCTCTCCGCTTGCTGAATCCCCCCCTTTGTCCTCGACTCTCGCTTTCTCCACCATCTCTGAAGATCTGCTCAAGACGTCCGGCAAAACGCTCTCTGTGTAAATCAATGGAAGTATTCGCTCTCTTTCTCTCTTTTTTTTTTTCTTTCTTTTCTCTCTCTTTCTCTCTCTCTGTGAAGCCACTTTTTCTTTTTGAGAAAAAACAAAACAAAACACAGGCCTCGTGAAGCCAACTTTGAAGTGTTATTGAACTGTAAATCCTCTCAATAACCCGGTCGTAGCACTTTAAGAGACTGAAGGACATCTATTTGTAATTCGCAAGAGCATCTCCGGTTTTGGATGAGGGGGGGGAGGAAGGGGATGCGGTGAAGAGGCTGGTTGGCTTGTTCATATTTCATCCTTTCATTTTCTTTTTTTCTTTTTGTTAATTGTTATTTTTGATATTTATTTTTTGTTCTTGTTTTTTATAAAGAAAAAAAATACAAGTATATCTATGGTTGTCTCGTGAGGGGAAGTGTGTAGTGTATTAACACTTGACTTGCAGCACAACTAAAAAGTGTAGGGTATGAAGTGCCAACCAGAACATATCCAGAAAACCAGTCCAAGTTATTACCCATCATCACAGCAGTCATTCATGCCAGACAAATGGGCTCGTGACGCTTCCAACTGCTCGACTAAGAGTCATATTAGAAGCAAATCAAAATAATTTTTTTTTTTTTTTTTTTTTGTTCTCCATTTTAGCTTACGCACGCAGTTTTGCAGACCGGTAAAGCTTCCAGTCACTCCTAGGAAAGCAACTCCAGTTTTATTTTCCTTTCTTTTTTTGTATTAAGAGTGGTAGTTTTATTTATACTTAAGAATGTGTTTATATTGTTGGAGATAATCGTTGTTTCCTGTTATAAAATTATAGATAGAAAAATTAATGCCAAGAAAATGTCTTTTGAAAAATAATTTGTGGCTGCAAACTGATACATGGTTTACTCTTGTGAAGCATTTTGCATAGAGCAGTGTGCATCTTTAAGACAATCTCCAATGCAAAGATTAGCTCTGCACTCACACTGACTAATGAATGATGGTGGAATCATTAGTATTTCAAGACTTTAATGTTAGGAACAGAGGCTGGACGGACTTGGCTTAGAACTGAGAGTGAATAATGGTGAGATTACAATTTGTGCAAGGACATAGCAATTTAAGAGACTTATCTGCAGGCAGCGTGTTTTTTTTTGTTTTGTTTTTTTTTGTTAACCAGTATGTGTATATTAGGTAATCAAAGTGTGCTCAGCTTATTTAACCGTAAGTGGAGATGGCTTTGCCTCTGCTTAACAATGAGCCCTTCTGAATACGTCTCAGTACAGCACAGGATGGGTCAGTTTTCTTCAGCGCAACACAAACACTTAAAATCTTAACATGTTGGCATAACGAGTGTGCAATGGGTAGACTGTAAATTGTAGTTTTTTGTTTTTTTTCTTTGAACGTGTACATTTCAAAAGTTGGCTTCTTCTCCCACTTTTTTTTCTGTCACAATCAATTCATTTTCTCACCCTCTGACCTACTAACAGGGAGAAAAAACATAACTTCAGCCAGATTTTCATTTTCTAGGGAAAATGCTTCCTACTGCAAACAGCATTGGGATAGCTTTGGTTTTGCTTTTGGAGGTCAACTGCTGGTTTGAACAACAGTTTTCAGTCAAGAGATGTGCATCTGGAGTGCTCTATTTTTCCCCTATCCCAAAGCTCTGCACGGCTTGGGCCTCCCTGTGCTTGCATGACATGGAAGTATATTTTTTGTTGTGCATGTAGATCAATTTTTTGAAATAATCCTCTTGTTTACACATGGATGGTGATGTTAATATATTTAAGAATTTAATGGTATACAATATGGATGTTGCCAAACTTTGGTAAATGTACACATATTATGAGAGGTAATCCAACTGAACTGAACTACATGTAACTTTTTGTATTTTACCCGGGTCAGCAAGATGCTTCGATTCCAGTAAAAGTTGCATATCTGATCCTGTCTCAAACTGCCACACACTGTACTCAGCTTAAAGGGGAAAATTTGATGTTTTTTTTTTTTTTTTCCTTTTGTATATAAGTATTTGTTAAATGCAGTTCTGGCTCTCTGTTCTCTGTATAGTTCAGACCGCGCTTTAGTTTGTAAGTGCTACTTTTCTCTGAGGGACTTGGGTTCTTTTTAGTTTGTGTGGGGATATGAGAAGATTTAAGTTTGAGAACCTTTTTTTTTTCCTTTTTCTGCATGCTGCATCTTATGCTGTGGGACTGTTGGAAACTTGATACTGTATGAAAAATAAAATTTAAATAAACTTTGAAATGTTGAAAGTATTCTATTTGACTGTCCTTTTTTATTATTATTTTAAACCTGACCAAGATGTGACTGACTAGACTTGTATCTTCATTCACCAGGAAAGAAGAGTACACACATGCTTTGTTTAGTTTTTTTTTTTTTTAAAACACATTTGCACAAACACGTACTTTCAGATATCCATATTCCCTTAATGCACGTATCATAATTTTATTAATCATATTTGATACCAGCTGATTCAGAAACCACGAGATTACAGAAGAACCCGAGGTATTAGTCCAAAGGGCAGTGACTGTCTCAACACAGATCCCACATAGGAATTCCACCAGCCAATAGGAGAAGAGAAATACATATGGTAACCAATCAGGCTTCAGGTTTAGAATCTCTCTGCAGTCCTGCTAGCCACCACTCTGATGTTGCCATAGACCTTTGAAGGTGGACTTCCTGTAGGGGCAAAAGGGATTTATTAAAGGTCACTTCTCAGCACTAATGTGTAAACAAAGAGTTCAATTCCAAATATGGTTAGTGCTAGATTCGATGGATTTGCTGTCAGGTGACTGATGCTCTCAACACTGGAAAAGGCTGCACAGCATTTAAATAGGTTTGTTCAGGAGTTGGCTAAACTGTTTGTTCAATGTTTTAGGGTTTTTCTTTAAGCTGACTGTCAGCTTGTATAAAAAAAAAAAGTAAGAAATTAGATTTTTGCACTCCTTACGGAAAACATTAAGTGTTATAACAGGTCTTTTTAAACACCTGATTCAGAAAAATGGCTTCATTCCAATGCTTGATTGCCTAGCCTCTTTTAATTTAGGCACTTTTACTGCTGCATTTAAGTATATATCAAAATTGAAATCCATAAAAGAAGGATTCACAGGGGAGTCTTATAATCTAAATTTCAATGTTTAAATGAGTACCTCAAAGTGAATAAATTAGTACTTGTACTTCTCCAGGAGTAACGGTATTTGAGACAGCAGAGTGTCCAACCAGCTCATCCAATAAAGCACCACCTCAATAGCATCAACCACATGATATACTGTGCTATTAAAACAATGCTCGTCTTACCTAAGATCAAGTTGCATATCGCTGTCCGGGCCATCTTGATATTCTGGAAAGATCCTAATACGTGAACTTTTCTGTAGACAGACAAAGCAGAGTGTTCGCAGTTTCAATGAACAATGAATACAAGGCACATAACTAGAAAACATACTGCAGGTATGGATGTATGCGAAAGGTTGTTTATATTGTCTTTAGAGTACCCACAAAAACATCTGCGTGAAGAGGAAAATAGCATTTGTGTGTGAAAAACTGTTAGTAAGTAATATATTATGATAGTATGTTTATGCACTTATTAACAAACCAAATCAGGCCAGTTTATTTTATTTTTTTAAGTTTATTCCCAAAGAAGTAAAGCTCTTCTTTACAAGATCTGTATTAAACTCCAATACTTATCATGACTAAAACAATGCAAGAGAAAAAAATCCCAATCTAAATGTTTGATTAATGCTGCAGTGAAACCGTATCAACTTTAAAAAGGTGGCTAAAGAAAATTAATGAGGGATTAAGAAGCAAATGATGTGAAAAATTAATTAGTAATTTTACTGTAGCATATCAAAATAGTGGATTTACTCACGTGTCTGCAAGCACAATGCGAGTCTTTGTGACATTTTCAATGGTGAATTTGGTTTTTCCTCCCTTCCCTGCTATTCTTCCAATAGCTCTGGATAAGTGGTCTCCCTTCAGAGGTTTCACTGCCAAAACATGGGAGAACAATTAAATAGATCTCGAGAGGTTGAACATTGTATTCTTCATGCAGCAGGGAAAGAGAACTGGTAAGAAATTATGTCGACTCTAACAGCAGCCACAAGTGCTACAGAGGTGGAAACTCACCGTCTGTGACATCAAAGCTTTCAAGGAAGAGCTCATCTAATCTAATGAGAGCCAGAGCATCCTGAGGGGAGAGAGTGTGAATGTTACATCACGAGTGACAATCCAGCAAGGCTCAAAATTAACAATAAAATACTGTGACAGCTTCTAAAGATAATTTACACATTTAGACAAAGCAAAAACAACTACAAGTCACTTTATGGAGGCTACTGACAGGGAGGAAACTTTTATTGTATTAACAATAGATTATTTAACTACACTGAGCTGAAGTAAGTTTCAGTCAAGTGTCTCTACCACTGTGCCAAAACTTGACTTTTGGCTTGACAAATACACATTCAGTACAAAAGCAGTCAGGCAGAATTAAAACATGCAGAAAACTCATGTACTTACTTCAACCTGAAATCCAAGAACAAATGCTTTAACAAAATCAGCTGCTCTTTGGAGTGAGGTGATGTCCTGTGTTTCTTTACATGTCTGAAAGAAAGAAGGCATATTAGTCATATCAGAGATGAAATACTGTATATAAGCATTGTAATAAATAGGCTCACCAAATCACCGAAGTCTACATGAACAGGAGAAGCTTACCTTGATTTCAACATTCCTTGTTTTGAGGTTGAATCTAACTTGAAGTTGTAGGTTCTCTACAATAGGAGTGAAAATCTTCAGCCAGTTATCTTTCAGCGGTGTGTATCTGTGAGCTGGAACTGGGATTTTGCGCATCTCATCTGATCCCTTAAAAAAACAAACAAACACAAAGAACATTTCTGATCATACGGTGTAATGTTAGCAAAACTACTCTATGACATTTGGTTAGGATTTATCAGAAAACATCTTTGCTTTGTAACCCGAACTCAAAGCAATGCTGCAACTAATGTAACATGTTTACAATTGTTTAATGTGGTGACTTTTTTTCCACTTAACTGTCTGATCTTTAAATCATCAGAAAACAGTGAAAAAAATGTCATCATAAAGAAACCACTAATCCACAACAGAAGTAGAAAGAGAGATTGCAGAGTACATATAAACAGCAACCCCGGGTTTCTATGGTGCCTGACGGTGCATTTAATTACTGAAACATTCATATGCACGCTTAATTTCAAAGTTTCTAATTAATCCTCTGAGTACTGGACTGATATTAACCACGAGTAATTCATGCGTTTTGTTTTCCTAACTGTATTTTTGCTTTAGTAGACAGTGCTTTAAACAGTCAGAGTACTGTGAAATCATAAGTATTATAATAACAGTCACGACCTAAACACAGTATTTGTTGTGTATTTGAATATTCTACTTGGGCAACCACACTACCACAACAGCAGCTTTATTTAGTGTATTCACATGACTACACCGCGCGTGCGCATAATAGTTAATGGTTTGGTCGGGGAAGCTACTTTGTAAACATGACAAATAACATTAAATGTACAGTTATTGGTATTTATTTGACAAAACCGAGAGAATACACAGAGTCTATATATACACGTGGTGTAGTTACCCGTAATTTGTCTCCTGAAATGGGCGGAAATTGCGGTCGTTTGCTTGCCACGGGCTCCTCTGTGTCCATGCTCGCTCCATCTTGTTCACGTTTTCGCTTCTGAGACTTTTTTGACTTAACCTTTGTGAAAGAATCGGCGTCATCTTTGTTCTCAATGGGTACTACAGAGTCCGGGACTGGGTTTTTATCGGTGTCCATCTCGAAAAAAGTTTTTTAAATCAGATTTTGAGTAGAAACCTAAGCAGACTGTGAACGGAGACGCGTGAGCATGTCCTCGTGGGACGAAAAGGACCCAAACAGCCACATCAACGACGCCTGTAGATTGAGAGGTAACAAAATTATTTTATTATAACTATCTATGATGTCTCTAGTTGTCTTTAGAATTGAATGCAGGCTGTTTATATATTTTTGCATATGATTTTTGTACCAATGTACATAGATATTTTATTGAAAGATACGCATTTTGTCAGGCATCTGTTAAGGCAGCCGCTCGCTCAGCTGTACCTAGTTTGTTTTGGAAGAGAGCGACAGTTGTCTAGTTTTTCACGCCGATATCAGTGTTTCTTATAAAAATGTCATCGCCGCTGTCCAAGCCTCAGATTATTACGCATATTCAGAAGAGTTTGAACTATACGGTTTTTGACAGTAAATGGATTCCCTGCAGCGCGAAGTTTGTCTGTCTGGGAAACTTTCCTAGTGGAACCGGAGTGATTCAAATATATGAAGTTAACCAAGGCGAGGCTCAGCTCATAAAGGAGGTACATTAACGTTCTACTCTTGTGGGCCTTTGTTCCTTTCTTTTCTCTCAGATATTTCATACAAACGGCGTACAGAGCTAGCTAGCCCGTCGAAGAGTTCTAGAAAAGTCTGGCAAGGGTGTTTCCATGACAACAATTTGAAGGCAGCCCGTTCATTATTGTTCTACTGTAGATTATCCTATAGTTGGCATACTTTATCCAGATTATACTTAAAAAGCAAATACTACAGCATCACTTGCAACGATTAAAAGATTGCTACGCTGTCACCAGTGTATCGTACTACAAACAAAACTTACTGTTGTAGTTTTGCGCCATGGGATGTGTGCCAGGCATCAAGATACAGATAAAGGAGAGTAAACGTAACAAAACGTGTATAAACATGATTCTTTTATACTTATCTTGCCTGTTTGTTTCAAGTGTAGGTCATTTTGCTGCTAAAGCTTGAATCAAGAGTGCCTACATGATACAGTGCTGTGAAAAAGTATTTGCCCTCTTCCCAATTTCTTATGTTCTTGCATATTTGTCACGCATGTTTCAAATGATCAAGCAAATGTTAGTATAAGACAAGAACGTCTTAGTTAAGGTCAGTGTTCATGATTCAATGATAAGAAAGAGAATCGGTAAAAATGGCATCTATGGGAGAGTTCCGTAGTGAAAACCACTGCTGACCAAAATGAACACAAAGGGCCATCTCACGTTAGCTTAAAAAAAAAACAAGAACAACAAATTGATGTTCCCCATTATTCTGTGAACTGAAAAAGAGACAAAAGTTGAACTTTCTGGGAGGTTTGAATCATGTTACATCTGGCGTAATTCTAACACACCATTTCATAAGAGAACATCATACCAAACAATCAAACATGGTGGTGTGATGGTCTGGGGCTGTTTTGCTGCTTTTGGCCTGGGCGACTTGAATTAATAGGTTCAACCAGAAAATCCTAAAGGAGAATGCCTGACTGTCAGTTTATGCCCTGAAGCTCAAGCTCACTTGGATTATGAAAATACATTTTCACTGCACTCCTTCCACACTGCTTTTCCATTATATGCTGAATTGTCCCATTCACGAAACTAAACAAACTCTTACCTCTGTGATATGTTTCAGGTAGAGAAACCTAAAGCTATAAAATGTGGAACATTTGGGGCCACGTCTCTTCAGCAAAGACACATAGCAACAGGGGATTTTGATGGAAATCTCAATATATGGTATTGTATACACCAATTGTGTAAAAAGCACAATTGTGGGAAAGCAAGGTTTAAATTCTATTTTTAACCAAAAAACACTTCTTATGTTAATTGTAGATCTTATATTCAAAGCTGGTTCAATCCCAAAGACAGTTATAATTGGAATGGAATAGAAAAAATGTAATGGAAATGTTATTTTAAAAATCTGTTACGTCGACATTAGACTTATTCAGTACTGATGTCCTGTGGTTCACAGGAATCTAGAGACCCCGGATGTGCCCGTATATGCTGTAAAGGCCCACAAAGAGATCGTGAATAGTATTGATGGTGTTGGTGGTCTGGGGATTGGTGATGGTGCGCCTGAGATCGTTACTGGAAGCAGAGATGGTAAGAGCATTTAAAAAACAAACAAACTAGATTGTAATTACTTTTCAGTGCAATGATAGTGGGAAAGTAAAGTACATGAAAATAAGACTAGATCCTACATGATTGTATTTTAATAGGTACAGTCAAGGTGTGGGATCCCAGACAGAAGGATTCCCCTGTAGCCAACATGGAGCCAATGGAAGGAGAAACCAAGAGGGACTGCTGGACTGTTGCTTTTGGTTTGTAAAATATTCTTCAAAAACTAAGTTGATAGTGGTGGTGCTTCCCCTACTTCCATGGTGTGCAGAAAAGAACATAAGGTCTGAAGAGGTTAAGGCTCCTGCAATAGTTGTGGTAGTATAAAGGACACTGTTACAGCTTGTGCCCCTTAACAGGGTCCTCACAGAACATTATTTTCTTGAGGACCGAAGTACCAACATCCACAAGTAAAGTTTAAAAACATGCTCTCCACTTTATCTGTATCCACAGAGACAGGACTGTAATGCATTTTTGATAGTGATAAGAACTGATACAGTCATAGGTTATATTAATTCTAAGAAGCAGTAAAAAATATTTATCATATATTCTATTGTGTACAATTTGAGGGATTTCTTTATACTTAGTAAAGGGGATTATTTCTCTGAATTTTAAACAGCAGAACAAAGCCCAAATTCCAGCTAGTCCCTTGGTCAAAGGTACAATGTCAGGAGAGAGTATTCAAACTCCAGAGAGAAGCACCCTCTTCTGGGTCAGACAAAGGACACTCTGTGAAGCAACAATGCTAACCTATCAGCCACCACAAATAAAGCTGCTGTAATGCACTGCACATAACTGATAAGACATGACAAACAAAACTTTTGTTTTTGTTTGTTTTTCATGTATACTTTTTTAAGAACATCCTGATCCATGCCCTCCAAACACAAAAGGTGCAAACAGATGGTACAGTGAAAAAAAAAAAAAAAAGCACATGAGCATGAACACCTATGAAAATGCAGCCATAAACCTATGTTGTGCCTTTGTGTTTGTTTTCAGTGATCTTTCCCAGGCTTAAAATATCCTTTACATTTACATTTCAGGTCATGCCTTTAATGATCAGGACCGCTGTGTTTGTGCTGGATATGACAATGGTGACATCAAACTCTTCGATCTGCGGAATATGTCTCTACGGTGGGAAACGAACATTAAAAATGGGGTGAGGTGAAAGAAAAAATTGTCAGTATGTGGCATATATACATTTTCTACTTTTTTTTTCTGATTCAACCAAACATGAATCAAAATAGTTAAAGCTAATGCTTTTTTTAAGGGTTGAATTCTTTTGGCACATAATATTTCCTTTGCACAAATAACAGATTTTGAACTATAATGCAGACAAAAACAGTGTGAAATGTGGAGACAGAGCTGAAAATGACTTCCCACATCATTTACACTGCACATAAAACAACAGGGCAGTCTGAGGTGAATACTTCCTCAGACTGTAAGCTGTACAAAGAATTGCTCCGGTTTTATTTCATGGCTGTCTCTTTCATTCAGTTC